ATGAGAAATAAAATGAACTTTTTTGATTTTAGCAAATGGCTGCAATGGAACAAAGAGTGAAACATTTAAAGGGGTCTGAATACTTTCCGTACCCACTGTATCTGGTATGTTCTTTTTTCTCTTATTGTTTGTATAAACTTGAGAGTTCAATAAGGAAAACAACTCTCACTGTCATGGCCATTACCACTTGTGATGAAGATCAGTGCTTTCGTTTAACCAATAGGAACGAAGCTCTTGTGACTCAACAAATTGGCTTCAGCTGCTTATTCCGTCTTGTATAAAGAGCTTCACTTAGCGCGGCTTCCTGTTCGTCTCTCACACAGCACTCCTTGAAGCGCAGCTGTGAGAGTTAAATCAGTCTAGTCATCCTTATTTCACGCCTCTAGATTCAGGAAACATGGTGAGTATGGAACAATGGGAAGTTTTATTTTATATTATAACTGTTATAAGAAATGTTTTCTTGTCTATTGTGTGTAGTGTTTTATCCTCTGTTTTTATTTTATATTTTAGTAGTAATATATTTGTTGTGTATTTTAGTTATGTTATATTCTTAATATTATGTATTGTATTGATGATCTATACATCTCTCCCAGTCTTTGTGGTGTTGTCTTTCTATTTTTACCACATATTCGAAAAGGTTTTTCCTAAAATAATTAATAAATCAGACACTTAATCTGTAATATTTTCAGTGTGTGTATGTGTATGTATGTATATGTATGTATGTATGTATGTATGTATGTATGTATGTAATATTTTAGTCTCTTAATATGGTTTTATTCATGGATAATCAACTGTTTGTCTGAATAAGCTGAATCATCTTAAGACTATAAATAGATGTGCACCATGCGTCAGGTGACTTGGTCATGATGTTGTGGTATCTGGTACTTTACAAAGAGCCCTTTTATTTCTTCCCCCCTTTGGACCGTAGCTGCCTTTAACATGTGGTGATGATCTGAAGCATCTAATGCATGATGGTTAAAACCTATAGATGGATGTCTGGCAATATTTAATGGTAAAACGTTACAAATTGATCATTCCCCTCCAGCGTGAGTGTATCTCGGTGCACGTCGGTCAGGCTGGTGTCCAGATTGGCAATGCCTGCTGGGAGCTTTACTGCCTGGAGCACGGCATCCAGCCGGACGGACGGATGCCCAGTGGCAAGACCACGGGAGGAGCAGACAATTCCTTCAACACCTTCTTCAGTGAGACCGGAGCTGGACAGCACGTCCCCAGAGCGGTTTTTGTCGACCTGGAGCCCACTGTCATTGGTAAACTCATTAAATACAGATCCCTCTTTTATTTGATAAAATCAAACCCTCAAGTGAGTTCTTATTTGAACCGGTCTATTCAGATGAGGTGCGCTCCGGGGCCTACCGACAGCTGTTCCACCCTGAGCAGATGATCACTGGCAAGGAGGATGCTGCCAACAACTACGCTCGTGGACACTACACCGTCGGCAAAGAGATCATTGAACTGGTGCTGGACAGGATCCGCAAACTGGTGGGTAAATTCAGAGCAGGAGAAGTTCCTTCCTAATCAGGCTGGAACACTTTGGCAATGTGTACTTGTACTCTGGTTCAAAGATTACAGCACAACCCTAAATTACAATTTACCTACATTTTGTTTTACTGCATCTCATATATGTGATCAGTGTCTCTTCCTCTGCCCTCAGTCTGAAAGGTGCACCGGCCTTCAGGGCTTCCTGGTTTTCCACAGCTTCGGAGGTGGCACTGGCTCCGGTTTCACCTCCCTGCTGATGGAACGTCTGTCTGTCGACTACGGCAAGAAGTCCAAGCTGGAGTTCTCCATCTACCCAGCTCCTCAGGTGTCCACCGCTGTGGTGGAGCCGTACAACGCCATCCTGACCACCCACACCACCCTGGAGCACTCCGACTGTGCCTTCATGGTGGATAACGAGGCCATCTATGACATCTGCCGCAGGAACCTAGATATCGAGCGTCCCTCCTACACCAACCTGAACAGGCTGATCAGTCAGATCGTGTCCTCCATCACTGCTTCCCTTCGTTTCGATGGCGCCCTCAATGTTGACCTGACAGAGTTCCAGACCAACTTGGTGCCATATCCCCGTATCCACTTCCCTCTGGCCACCTATGCCCCCGTCATCTCCGCTGAGAAAGCTTACCATGAGCAGTTAACGGTGTCCGAAATCACCAACTCCTGCTTCGATCCGGCCAATCAGCTGGTGAAATGTGACCCTCGCCGCGGCAAATACATGGCTTGCTGCCTTTTGTACCGTGGTGATGTGGTGCCCAAAGATGTTAATGCTGCCATTGCCGCCATCAAAACCAAGCGCTCCATCCAGTTTGTGGACTGGTGCCCCACTGGTTTCAAGGTCGGCATCAACTACCAGCCGCCCACAGTGGTTCCCGGTGGAGACCTGGCCAAGGTCCAGAGGGCCGTGTGCATGCTGAGCAACACCACTGCTATTGCAGAGGCCTGGGCTCGCCTTGACCACAAGTTTGACCTGATGTACGCTAAGCGTGCGTTTGTGCACTGGTATGTGGGTGAGGGAATGGAGGAGGGAGAGTTCTCAGAGGCCAGGGAGGACATGGCAGCGCTGGAGAAGGATTACGAGGAGGTTGGAGCTGATAGTGTAGGAGAGGAGGAGGATGATGATGGAGAGTTTTAAACTGATCTGTACTCTGATTAACTTCAAAAATAAATTGTGTTCAGTAACTGCACTATTGTTTGATGTCTTTGATACACCTCGTCCACGGGATAGAAGAACTGTTGAACAGGTCACCTTAAAGCATGCTGCCATCTTGGGCAGGATTAAACTGTTTTGTATTGGAACAGTTACTCTGCTAACACTATATTCTAAGCCAGAGTTAAACGTTTAACGTAAGTTAACTTTTTGATGTCACTTAGAAGAGCTAAATTGATTGTATGAAATGATCTTGCTCCACTCACTTTAGTCATATGGGGAAAGTCAGATGTTGTATCTACTTTAGGAACAGTTCATTTTAGGGGGAAAAGATGCCTCCTTCGTATTTTGACAATGTTGTTTCTTGTTAGATCATGTCATATTTCTTTGAGAGAAAAACATAGCCACAAATAGTTTGTTACATTTGACATCCAAGAAATGAATATAACACCTGGTGGTTTCACTTCATAAAGTAGCCCTCTACCACCACCAGAGGTCCCCATTTATTGAGGAAATATTGCTCTAAAATCTTTTTCATTTACTTTATACAGTACATAATGGTGGAGCAAAAAAAGAGTTTGAGGACAAGTACCCTTAAACTTAAGTAAAACTAGCCACAGTGTAGAAATACTCTGTTACAAGGAAATGTAAAACGGATCCAGTGGATCAGTAGGTTGCAAGGAAATTCTTGTTCTCAGGCTCCCTCCAACAATGCTACAAAATGTGAGAATCCAAGACAGACATACAAAAAAGGTGATCATAATAAAATACAATACCTAAAATGAAGTACTGAATACTGAAAAAATATATTTTGCTGTGCATATTTTTTACCAACACTTCTTGCAAAGCATGTCAGGATTTACATGTGGATGTATTTTGAACTACCGTCTACAGGTAGCCATTTGTTTTACATTTATTACACGTTTGCAGTTTTAATAGCAGACGGACTTGAAAAGTCTGCTACTCGTTGACAAAAGTGTGCAGTTAGCGTAGTTGTATGTTAACTTCATCTTCTCTGTGACTGTCACCATCGCATACTATTACAGTAGGAAGAATACATCCAAACATTTCAGAACTGAGCCATCTAAAGTCGCTGTCAAGAGTCTCAAAAGTGTACATGATTTGTGTTGAGAAGCTAACGTGTAGTGTCAGATACTGATATCTTTTAAGTCAGGACCCATGTAGACAGGAGACTTTGCTAATTAGCCAAAATATCAATACAGCTCTCTATTGTAATAGTAATAATGTAATGTAATAATTTTTATGTGGTTATTCATCACTTTTCTGCCCTAAAGGACACCTTAATATATGTTTTGGATGTTTTCTTTCCACTAGTCTGAAAGAAGACATGTCGTGGAGGCAGAATAGCACAAACTTGTAAAATTGACCAAACAATGTTTTAGCCTGGGGCGTCTCCAGAAAAATGTTGAAGGTGATCCGTCAGGAGAGATGGGGGATGTCAGGCAGCTCTACAGTAACACAAATCTGATTTCATCCGACTTAATACTGGTGATTTCCATTAAAAGTGAATGCAGCCTTTGCAAAATTGAACATGTTGCATTCTCTTGGCGACTGATGTGCTGGAAACTTTATTACAACAATACCGATGTTAGACCTGTTGCAAGTATGTTTTTGTGGGAGGGGCACGTTACTTCCTGTCTGACTCTCCACCATCTGGCCTTCAAGGAATGAGTGAGCGGATGAAATAGAGGTCAAAGTTTGAATAACAGAGCAAGGCATGGGAAAGTGGTTATTCAGGCTAAATACAGCGTGATGGTCCAGTGGTGTGTGAGAGCGGTTTTAGGGCGTCTGTAACCTCACACAGCCTCAATGACAGGTATCATCAACTACTGCTTTGTTCCCACACATTTTCTCTCTCTCTCTTTTTTCCTACAGGTGAGTAATCGTGCAGATGACGAGTTTGTCATCATCGTCTTCCTCAACTCTCCTCTTCTATCGCTCTCTTTCTCTCTCGTTTTTTCCCAGACGGTCTTTTTCCCAGAAGGTCCTGTGTTGAGAAGTGCTCTTACCATCTCAAGTTCACGTATACTGAAATGTGGCCGAGAAATCTTCACGTCCAGCCAAAAGAAACTGTTGCTCACTGACGGAGAATCAAAGTTGGATGTCTCTACAATGCCGTGCTTGCAACAATAGTTAATGGGTAACCAGCTCTCACCTCCTCAGCAGTCTCTCTTTCTCCCGTCTTTCTTGGGTGAAATTACAGACAACAGTGTGCTCTGCAGTTTACCCTGCCTCAAACCTGTCTGGCTTGTGTGTGTGTGTGTGTGTGTGTGTGTGTGTGTGTGTGTGTGTGCACGCTCGTGCGTGTGTGTGTGTGTTTGGAGAGGAAGAAAGATTTACAAATATATTGAAGTATGCGAGAATGATATTTAACAACACTAAATGTGAACTGCCACACACAGTCCTGTGGGACACTAATGCTAAGTTTTACTTCTTTTTTTTCACTCTTTAAGTATCTGTATGACACACACACACACACACACACACACACACACACTCAGTGCACCTTCTTTTGGAGCCAAACTCCTAATCTGAATTAAATGCTGAGCATGTTTGCCTGTGGCAGGGAGCGCCAGGCGAGTCTAAGCTCGCCATACAATGATCTTAACGTGTAGGGATGGAGGCCCCACATACTCCCCCCAAACCCCCTCACCTGGCCCCCTGCATACCTTTGACACACACACACACACACACACACACACACAGACAAAGAACTCTGTTTCAGCCTTGAAACAAGGGACAGGAAGCCGATATGGTCCTTCAGCAGAACATCCAAGTAAAATGTATTGTTATATTTAGACTTTGATTGCATTTGTGCTGACATATAGTTGTACTTTATGTGTTCTATCAGCAGTTTTTTGTGTTGTGTTGATCAGTGACACAACTTTACTGACTGAAGCTCAACTGCATATTCATCTAAATAGAAGTCACCATTTATTGCATTACAGCTCTGATCCAGGTGCTGTTTCCGTTTTTAGCTGCACAGGCAGTGTAGGAGGGAGGGCCAGCCTGTAAGGCCGCCAGTTCACCCTGCAGGTTCTTTTAGGGCCACTAGGTGTCAGCTAAAACAAAACTCAGATCATATTTAAGTGAACAGCTGAACTAACTTGTGGTACTTCTAAATTAAAAAAATAAAACAGTGATTGTAAATCACCAAGAATAACTTTTACACTATTTTGCATCATGCCATGGTTATATATTATATTACAGTTTCTCTTAACTTGTCCAGCTTTCTTAATGTACAGCCTGATGTCTATCCCTCACTTTTTTCATTCTACTATATCTCTCATTTTCCTTCTTCACCCTATTCCTAACTTCCTGTCTTTTGTCGTGCCTCTCTCTTTCTATTTCCCTATTTACCTTTCCATCTTTCTCGCTCATCCTTTTGTCCGGCTCGTCTCTTTGTGTCTCTTTGTATCTCTTTGTGTCTCTTTGTCCTCTTTCGGATGCCAGCGGACTTCAAAGTAGTCGAGATCTATGAAGGGAAAGGAGGAAAAGAGCGAGTGAGCAGGTCACAGAGAGGGAAAAGGCTGCAGTCTAAAGTCAAATTCATCCTCATTTAATACCGGTGGTGACATTGTACCATTGCAACTGCACAAAAACACAATTATCAATATTCTTCAACTTGAAAACATTTTAGTAAAGTAATATTTGGTAATTGCAACAGAGATAATATCCCCAACAACATTTCTTTTTGCTCTTTTCAGAAGACAGGTTTTCTTTACATGCGGGCAATAAAGTTTGCATTTAATTATCTATTTGTGAACGGATTGCAGTAACCTAAAAACTGAGAGCTTCTCTGGCTGTGACGTTTATAAACGCCCTCGAGTGCCTTCCCTCTCTTAAAGCTCCCAAACAGCGCCAACTGTGTGTAGCTAATACACCGATCTGGCTGTTAAATTAGTTTGCAAATTACTTTATTTATGTTTTCTAACATTAATTTGATAAAAAATTACTAATTTAACTGAAACACTAAAGCCTTCCTCAATCAAACAAAATAACTTTGCTAGGGAATAAGCTGTAAAGAAAAGCACATGGAGCCCTAAGGAGCATTAACATGCTGATTAAAACCCACTACAATCTTCCCAGTACCTTTTTACACTTTTTTTGTATAAGTAAACATTTTGGCATGATAATGGTACTTGAGGTATCTTTCCCTGGTCTGAAGCGTTGTATGGATGGTTGGATCGACTGACCCACAGGCATCAATAACATCAAGCTCTGATCTTGATAGAGAGCGAGAGAGAGAGAGCGAGAGAGACCCACCAGGAGTGTGTATGGTTTGAAGTGTCTTGTTGGAGGAGACAAAGAGAAGGGCATGTAGGTACCTGCCTCTCAAACACACATTTTAGTCCGTTGTCAACCCCAAACATCCCCTCCCCGGCCAACAGCACATCAAACACATCCACCCTCAGCACTGTGTGTGACATTTGTGTGTGTGTGTGTGTGTGTGTGTGTGTGTGTGTGTCTGGAAGTATCTCCAGAACGGGAGGCGGCACACTTGAGGAATGCTGGGAATAGACACACAGTATTTACTCAATACTGTTATCATCTGAATATACTGAAGTTATGGCTGCAAAAGAGAAGAAAAAATGAATTGTGTGCACGTATGTGTGTTTGCATGTAGCATGTGATGATAAGAGCATTACGTTTTGACTGAAGACAGATGCTAACAGATGGATTTAGATAAAAACATCTAGTTTTCACTAAAGGGTGAGAACAGGAAGTTCGGAGCTGCAGAGCTGCTCCTACAGCTTACACTTACACTAATGTGGACCAATTTGTTTACCTGTCAGATTGGACTCTATTCACAATAAGCCAACTTAATGTTAAAACACAAGTTGCCAGATATGCAAACGCTGTCAGTCTACTGTTTAAATATCAAATATCTGTCACTGTGGAAAAATCCTGTCTCCTAGTATTATCCTTATCGGATCGACTTTAGATACGGAGAGGATGTTGGCAAGCTGCCACTTGAGGATCGAGACAGGACATTAGTGACGTGTCTTACAGCCT